CTTACACTTATATAGCGCTTTTCTGGACACTCCACTCAAAGCGCTTTACAGGTAATGGGGATCCCCTCCACCACCACCAATGTGCAGCATCCACCTAGACCTGTCTCTGTAAAGTTCCTCAGTCAAGCAGTGAATTCCAAGAAAAGATTTAATTATGAAGACCAAGCAGCTTTCAAAGAAACTCAGGGATAAGGTTTTAAAACGGCAAAGATCAGGAGAAGAGCAGATAAAGACCCTTTTCAGAGATGGTTAATATCTCTTTGGGCCTGGCGATATGAACCATGAGAGACACGGCCTGGGTCAGGCTGTCCCTCCAGACTGTGCAGCTGGACCCGGGGGGAACTGGAGGGCAGGCCGCCGTGAGGCCAGTGGACTCAGAGTTCGGGGACTGAGAGGCGGGAAAACGCTCATGGATCAGCAATCTCACTGTCACTTCACAAACAGGGCTTGTATGGGACTGAAAAAAAACACCTAAATGAGGTTTGCAACAAAAAACCTACTGCAATACTGCAGACATGTGACAAAAGGTTTTATTGCCAAGCAAGTCAAAATCTGAACTCTTCTGTTGAAATGGAACAGTTGTGGCCTAAAGCGTTAGATCTGACAGAAACCCAGGCAGGGAGGCACCTGGTCAAAGCACCAGCACTGTCAGGCACGGTGGTGGCAGTGTTATGCTGGCAGATGCTTCAGTCGAAATCGCAAAGGGTGCAGGTGTAGCATGAAACAACAAAGCGCCGTCTTCATTACCTGCTGGGATACTGCGCAGTGCAGGGGAGTTTCAGTTCTGTTCGACAGGAACAGGAACCAGTGACATATGTAACATTTTTAGTAAAGACTGTTGCCCATAACCGGATTTCCCCTAGTCTTAATTAAAACTGTTTTTAACCAGATAAGTCAATTCTGAGAAGTTCCTCCTTTACAGTGGTGACCTGGAGACCCCATAACACATCAGGACACTTAGCAATCTGAGTGAAGAGCCCAGCTTGAGGGCAGAGCAGCATTTCAACCCATTTACTCTAGGACAGAAGAACAGTATGCACTACTGCCTTCCGGACGATCTTCGAAAAGGACGCCACAGTGCATTGGAAATAAAAATAAAATCCTAAGGGTTATTGCTACAGTAATAAAATATGCACCGACGAACTCTTGCGGTTAATATTTGCACATTTGCTTCAGTGGGG